TTCTTTTGGTAATTCGATCTATATTCAAATTTTGAATAACTTTTGATCTTCACGTGTTTAATATATCTCATTTGCTAATATATAATTATTTATAGTTGTTGACGTACGAAAATTGATCGATATAGAGTGTTCAGAATATTGTTTGAATTTGCTGTGTATATGAATTTTTGTTGAATAATTGTATGAAAAATTGTATGAAAAAATTAGAGGAAAATTGAAGAAAAGGAAATTATTATTTTTTCTTTTGTGTTCTTCGTTCGAGGGGAAAGAAGAAAATCCTTACACCGCCTTTCGTTTCTTATCTCGAAAAAGAGTCCCCCTTTGCCGCTTGCCTTCGTATTTATATAAAGGAAAAGGGAAACAGTAAAAAGCCTCTTAAGCCCGTTCACACATACATTTTCCAGGCTTTTCACATCTAACGGGCTTTAGCGTCTAATGGGCCTTTATATGTTGGGTCTTTACAATATTTTACAAATACAAATGTAATCAATCAAATGAGACCGCGCAGGGCCCAACAATAATAAATAATGGAATAAATAATGGCTTCGATCGATATTCGTCTTGTCTGCAATTATTGTGTCGGTCGGGGCGGCTCGGGGCGGTTTTTTATGATATCCGAGTTGGGCTGATGACGTTGAATTCTGCTTGGCTCGAATACGGACAATCTTGACTTTTGGGGACTCATATTAATAAATATATCGAATAACCTGCTATTTTTATATTTATTTAATATATATATCAACGTGTAACATTTTAATAGGCGAGGCCAAAATTTGATGTCAAAAGGCCCCTGACTTTAGGACATGTTCTGAATAGTACTGTTCTGAAGTCACAGGTATAATGAATTTTTGCCGTGATAAACAATGTATCGATGTTGGACGGGTACTTTGGGACCCGTGGACGTTTGGTCAACCGTTTTCAGGTTTTGACCTGGCGTTTTGACGTTAATTGTGCTCTTTATTATGATAAATTGAGTCGACTGCGGGGCCTGAATGGCCTAATTTGAGTAATTTGGTACCCGTCTTTCACGTTTTGGTGTGCAATGTGAAGCGTATGATGGATTTGCTTTTGTAATGGTAATAACGATATGGATTTGCATGGGTACTCGGGCCCCCAAAATTGTTTGTCGCATTTGCGATTTTTTCGTATTGAGATGTTGCAATTTTTGACTTGTGTAATTGTTTTTCTTTGCTATGTGGACCTGGTCGGATAATTTGGTATCCGGTCTTCGGTCTTTTAGTTTTTATTTAATTACATATCGGTCGGGTAATGTGTTTCCGATCTTTAATGCAATATGTAGGCATTAGCCTTAGCAAACCAATTTCAGGGTTTGGAACAGGAACTTTATGTCAGATATATGTATGATGCGCGTATGTGATAGACGTATGTATGAATGCGCAAATATATGATGAGCACGTTAATGCTCGATAAATGATATTACCTCGATATTCGTCGAGTCTGAGTCCGATGTCATATTCTGGAAAGTGTTGTAATAATTTTTACTGGAGTAGAATCACAAGATTTGAACACCGGGTCGTGTCTCACGAGGAAGGTTAGCCGGAAACTTAGCACGTTTATTCAAGCACAGATAAAAGAGATAAAATTCCTAAACATTCTAATTCAGATGATTTGGTTTGATTATCAACTACGTAAAACTTCAAATTAAGCAAATATAAATAGCAAAGCAAAGACGATGAACAAGCAATATTAAAGAAGCTAAGGAGTCGGGGACATCCGTTTTGGCTCGAATTGCAACTATCGGGCCAGTGATCGTTCGGTTAAATGATTCGAATAATTCACTCGTTCAGAGATTTATCCTCAATAACTCTTCGTAACAAGAGGACATACGTGAACGGCAAATTAACGGGTCATTTAACACCTAGGCAATACCGTTACGAACAAGCCTAGTTTATACGAGCTTATTTCTATCGACTCCTCCCCTTTCGGTTCTAAAAGTCGATTGAATTGAACTAGAAGGTGTTTAACCAACTAGTCGTTTAGCATTAACAACATCATGCAAGAACGAATCAAATTCAATCGAAATCAATTGGAAATTGAAGTGTCACCCTTCAACAATTCTCAACTTTCAAGTATGATAATTGAAACCCTATTTAAGAACAACTCGCACAAATTGAACGATCAATGAATCCCAACAATCACATACGAATCCAAAACATTAATCCCCTATCCCTAGCTTACGGATTTAGCTACTCATCATAGATTCAACATCAACATACACATCAATCCAAGCCATCATAATCATAGATAAAACAAAGAAAGAAAGCTTACAATTAAATATGAATCCAATGTCGAAAAGCAATGAACAATCCAAATCCTAAAGCTTACTCTTGGTGTTTTCACATTCCAAGATCAAATCCAAGTGAAAGATAAGAGAAAACTGAGTTCTGGGGTGAAAAAGTACGAGAGAATGATAAAACCTAGAAAGAACATCCCCTAAAAACTGGTAAAAAATCCAAAATAAAAATCAGCTCGTCACGACTCCCGCGGCCGCGGTGAAGGATTTCCTGCATAGCCAAAAAAAAATGTTCTCGGGTTCGTTTGAGCTCGTTTCAACTCGGAATTCAATTCCGCTTTTTTCTATGTGTTCCCAATGAACTCCTCTATTTGATTAGGCTTGCCCAGCTAGTATTTTTCCGAACTCCTGTTCTCCCGAGACTTCCGACCTAGACACTATAAGCAAACAAAAACCGAAAAAATACACGGAAAACACACGAAAGACTAAAATAGAGCGAACCACGAAATAAATTACAAAACGAACTTAAAACCAACTAAAAGACCTAATATGGGGGAAAAAGAAAGACAAAAAGACAACGAGAAATGCAACAAAAATAGGACAAACAGAAAGTCGGCGTTATTTGTGTCCGATCAAATCATTGTTGGACCTGCATTATTAAGAGATTATCGTAGTACCGAGACCTTTAATGCTCGGATTTTCTTTTTTGTATAAAATACCGAGACCCTTTAATGCTCGAATTTTATATAGAGTACCGAGACCTTTTAATGCTCGGATTTTCTTTTTTTGTATAAAATACCGAGACCCTTCAATGCTCGGATTTTATATAGAGTACCGAGACCCTTTAATGCTCGGATTTTCTTTTTTGTATAAAATACCAAGACCCATTAATGCTCGGATTTAATTTTGCACCGAAGCAGAGGCTCGACGGCAGGAAAAATGTATCGACGTCAGCTCAGCCGGAGTCGATGCTCAACAGCGAGAAAATGTATCGCATCAGCTCAGCTGGAGTCGAGGCTCAACGGCGAGAAAATGTATCGCATTAGCTCAGCCGGAGTCGAGGCTCAACGGCGAGAAAATGTATCGACGTTAGCTCAGCCGGAGTCGAGGCTCAACGGCGAGAAAAGTAGGGACGTCTGCTCAGCCGGAGCCGAGGCTCAACGGCGTGAAAATGTATCGACGCCAGCTCAGCCGGAGTCGAGGCTCAACGGCGAGAAAATAGGGACGTCGTCTCAGCCGGAGTCAGAGCTCAACGGCGAGCAAAATGTAGATGTCAGCTCAGCTGGAGGCGAGGCTCAACGACGAGAAAATGGAGACGTCGTCTCAGCCGGAGTCGGAGCTCAACGGCGAGCAAAATGTAGATGTCAGCTCAGCCAGAGACGAGGCTCAATAGCGAGAAAATGGGGACGCGGAAATTGGTGGTCGGGCACGGCGTAAATGAGTAGGCCGTCGCAAATAGATAAGTGGCTTCGACTCTAGCGTAAATAAATGAATTCAGCCCCGGCGAGCGATCGATGAATCGGTTCGGTGTGACTGGGCTCGACTGCGAACAAATTATATACCGATATAAGAGAGCGGATCTCGTCAGTGGATGGTGAAGTCGTAAATGAGTACGTCGGACTAACGATCGGCTATAGTGAGGTTGTTCCGTCAGTTTTTGCGATATTGGTGACAGTTTGATGTTGACCGCGTCGGCTTGATGTTGGCCCTGGTTTGAGATTGGAGACAAGCACATCGGTTTGTTGTAGTTCAGCCCGATTTCAGTTTCGTGATTTTGGCTCTGGCACATATAAAGTCGACCCCAATGTAAATGAACTCAGCGCCCTTGTAGGTAAGTAAATTTGGCCCTGGCATAGGTAAATGAACTCGGCCCCGACATTGCGAATGATAAAGCGGCCCGATAGAATTGAATTCGTTAATCGGAAGAATAATTGATTTGCTTGGTTGAATTGGACCCGTCGGATGGGAGTGACAGTGCGGCGAATGTGATCGGTAGAGTCAATTTGATTTAGAATTGGATTGCTCGAACTGTAATTTTGATGCCTGATGACGGTGGGGGCGGCCATTGCAAAATTAGGAGGCTTATCGATTTTTCCTTAACAACGAACCCAGAGCCTGTTATATTCTTTATTCTTGTGCTTCTTTTGTTGTTGGTCCAAATTAAGATGAGGCCCAACAAAATAAAAATAAAAAATTAAAGACCACCTTTATCAAGTGGGTCGTATATTTGATCTGCTTGTGCACACTTCTTCTTTCTTTTTCACATCGCGATTTTCTCTCACGAATTCGGCGACAAAAAATGGAATTTGATGAAGTCGGGCCTCGACGGTGAGATCGGTTATTGTGAGGTCGGGGTTGCCGACATCAGAAGTTGGCGAATTAAAAATTGAGCACGGTGGCGTAATTTGGAGATTGGTCATCGTTTGGGATCACAAACTTGGTGCGAGTCTACTGTAATTAAGTAGGTTGCCGTCGGTTCAGAGATCTGAGCTTGGGCCCGATCTGTTTCGAGGTTTTCTTGTGAAGTCGGTTCGGCGGTGATGTCGGGCCTCAGCGACTGAGGTGGGTGAGGAGCTGTCTGACGTGGAGTGACCGAAATCTGTCCGGAGGGGTTCCGACTGCCTCAAAGTCGGGTGAAGTGGTCGTCGGCGCGACGAGTCGAGCATATCAGGAATAAAAGTGAGGTCGGTTCGATAGGGATTCAAATCAAAAATTGCAACGTCGCTGCCGACTACCGAGGTCGGAAATGATGAGGTACCGAAGTCGGCCCGGTATTGAGGTCGGAGAAATTTGGTGTCGGGGTTGAAGTTTGTGTTTTGGGACCTTCGCAAGGATGAAGTCGGATATACCGAGGTCGACCCGATGGCAAAGTCGGGCCCCGGTGACTGAAGTCGGAGAAATTTGGCCCCCGACGTGACCTGAATTTGAAGTCGGAGAAAGGTACCGAGGTCGATCTGTGATGACTTATGAGGGCTAATCCCGACATTTGAGGTCGAAAATATCGGAGAAGTTGAGGTCGGTTTCCGTCGGCTAATCGGACCTCGGGTGCTGCTACTATGATGTTGGTAAATCGGTTCTTGACAACTGCTTTGAGAAATTGATATGAATTCAGTTGCAGGTCGATAGGAACTTTGTTGTTTATCCATGGATTCGATGGATCGTCATTTGCTAACCATCTGCTGAGCGTCTCGATTGAATTCGGGAATCATGAAACTGTATTATTAGGCTATCTTATATGAGGCGACACCAATCAGAGCCCATGCGAGATCCATAGCTCGTCGTTCAGCCGAAGCGGTGGTAAGAATTCGACGGTGGAGTTTTGGCTTTCAAAGTGTCCGGGCCGAGATGTGGCCCTCTGTTACTGTGAGGTAGTGAAGTGTCTCATGAATTGGGTTGTGCAGGTTGAGGGTGGATACGTCGTGTTAGAGTAGGGTACCCGGCGTTCCAATCTAATTGGACGTATTCTACTTGTAAATACAGTCTAGTGGAATTATATTATGAATAAGGCATTTCTTTATCTTAAGAGAAAGCATTTATCTTATAATTGCACTTAAGATAAAATCCCTAGATCACTTATGGTTATAAGGTATGGTTGCGCATAGAGATGGTGATCATGGAACATACC